GGAAAAAGTGGAGTTTGAGAGTCGGCCCGGTCGCTATTTCAATTAATCCCATATGTTATTTCGTTTACGCTTTTCTCGTTTTACGCGGACCTCCACGGGTTCAATTGACTGCGTAAATGCAGACTATACTGTATATATATATATATATATATATATATATATATATATATATATATATATATATATATATATATATATATATATATATATATATATATATATATATATATATATATATCTTGATAAAATCACACGGGGGAAAAGGGAAACAACGGAGCACTTTAGCTTTCGTCTTTATTCAAGACATCTTCAGAGGCAACTGGATTACATGGACAGAGAGAGGACTAGAAACAGTGACCCATTGGAATTTTTAGACAAGCTTAATGATATTGTCCCAAGTATCACATTCAAAATTGAAAGAGAAATAAATGGATCCCTTCCATTCCTTGATATGCTTATCATTAGAGATGGCCAAAACTACAAATTTAAGGTGTACAGAAAGCCTGCAGAGGTAGACAGTTTCATACATTTTTTATCAAATCACCTGGAGTCGACCAAAATGTCAGTTTTTTCTGCTATGTTCTTGAGATCTTTGCATATTTGTGACGCTGAATTTATTGATGAAGAATTGAAACACATTCGTTCCATTGCACAAAAATTTGGGTACCTTTCTGAGTTTGTTGATCATTGTATTAAAAGGGCTATAAAATCCTTTCATTCTACTCAAACCAGGCAAATTCCTACACTTAAGAATATTTTGACTCTGCCCTATAGCAATGAATTTGTCCCCTTAGTTCGGTCCCTTAAATTACTAAATATTAATGTTGTTTTCAAGTATGACTCAACCATTACCAATATGTTAATAAAAAATAGCCCAAGTTTGAATGTAAATGGAAGTGTTTATTGTATTCCATGTAGCAAATGTAATGGTAATTATGTAGGACAGACAGGAAAGACATTGCAGCTCAGAATCAATCAACATAAGTACAATATCAGAACAGCATCTGAAAGCAGTGCCCTGTTCGTTCATGTTAGGAATACCGGTAATAATCACCCCATTGCTTGAGAAAAAGCTTAGAAGTACAAATCATCTTTTGTAACAGAAAGACTTCTGGTTGAAGCTAGTTTGATTAAGGAATTAAAATCAATAAACCTTAGTGATGGTCAGTTCAAAACTGATGTTACATAAATTTATTTGTCAGTGACCCAAGGTTAAAAATGCTTTGAAAACCTTGGAGCTAGATGTAGGATAGTTATTTAGTGGGTCCCTTATTTTTTACTTGACCTGACCTGACTAGTCACATCGCCCCCCTTCTCTTAAGCTCCTCTACGTGTGTGTTGGTGTGGGGATTAGTGGATGACATCATTATGACCTGACTTCATGTTTAATAAGGTCACTCTGTATATTTAAGCCTCTCTCTGTCCATGTAATCCAGTTGCCTCTGAAGATGTCTTGAATAAAGACGAAAGCTAAGGTGCTCCGTTGTTTCCCTTTTCCCCATGTGATTTTATCAAGATTTATCTTATCCACGTTTCCATTGTGGATATATATATATATATATATATATATATATATATATATATATATATATATATATATATATATATATATATATATATATATATATATATATATATATATATATATATATATATTATATATTATATATACAGGGGTATGCTATAACGAACGGATCCTACTACGAATATTCCTATAACGAACGGTTTTACCTATAAAATTGAGAATGCTATAACGAACGAAACTCCTACAACGAACATTATTTAATTTTTTTTTCTAATTTATTGTTTTTTTATTACAAATATTAATGAGATTCTTTATTTCAGGGGTTTAGATGCATATTTATGCACTTTTTTACAATTTTATATATTTTTCAGTGTTAAGTGGTTGTATTTGGGGGCCTGGAACGGATTAATCCTATAATGAACGAATGCTATAACGAACAAGGTTCTAGAACCAATTAGATTCGTTATAGCATACCCCACTGTATATATATATATATATATATATATATATATATATATATATATATATATATATATATATATATATATATATATATATATATATATATATATATATATATATATATATATATATATATATATATATATGTATACACAGGTACTCCCCGACTTCTGACGGGGTTAGGGATCGACATCCAGGTCATAAATCAAGAAATAATTAAACAAGTGGGAAATGCTTAAATAAGTAAGAATTAGGGGAGTATTATTGACATATATATATATATATATATATATATATATATATATATATATATATATATATATATATATATATATATATATATATATATATATATATATATATATATATATATATATATATATATATATATATATATATATATATATATATATATATATATATATATATATATATATATATATATATATATATACACACACACAATATTACCCTTCTTGGTTTCATAGCGTTTATCATATCTGTGATGCCATGAAACTGAACTTTCCTTAACGGATTTTTTTTTTCCACATATCACGCAGTGAGTGTCGGCTGAAGACGCTATTTTAGGTGCCCCACCCGCCACCCCTGCCTGACTGCCTGTTTAGCTCATAAAATTCATACAAATTACCCGGCCAGAATATAATTTACATTGCTGGAATTCTTATAATTTGGTGATCATTTTGAATATAAACATCATATATTTTGCATTAGACATACAAATTTTAGATAAAATTTTTTCTCTGAGTAACTATGTTATCTTTTGTGCAAAATATATGACATTTATATTCAAAATATTCCTGGTCTTACAAGGAATCCAGCAATGTCAATTATATTATCCTAACTTTAATCTGAGGTATTATTTAATACAAAATGTTAAAATTTATTTTTTTCACCCCACATCTCTTGAAGGGAGGATTGGTGGGAGGTGGGGGGGAGGGTTGGGACTGACCGCACGGTTGGAAGAGGGGGGGAGGCAAGGTGGGGTACTTTGATTGACAGATAGTGTCGTGAAGATTATTTTCTTTTTTATTAACTGAAGATATTTGTTTTAGCTCATAAAATTCATACAAATTACCCGGTCAGAATATAATTTACATTGCTGGAATTCTTATAATTTGGTGATCATTTTGAATATAAACATCATATATTTTGCATTAGACATACAAATTTTAGATAAAAATTTTTCTCTGGGTAACTATGTTATCTTTTGTGCAAAATATATGACATTTATATTCAAAATATTCCTGGTCTTACAAGGAATCCAGCAATGTCAATTGTATTATCCTAACTTTAGTTTGAGGTATTATTTATTAAAATTTAGTGGTTTTCCCCCAAAAATTTCTCAGAGAGGGAAGAGCCGACAGTGTACAGTAGTGTGAGAGGGGGAGGGAGTTGAGTCCATTATTTGAATGGACATTAACTTGGCGACTGTATTTCTCTATTTCTCTTAAGTATTAATTGTGTGCATGTACCATCATAAAATTAAGATGTTATTTTTACTACAACATAGTTATGTGTCTTCAAAAAGTGGAGTTTGGAGGTCGGGCCGGTTTCTATTGGAATTAATCCCATATGTTCTGTTGTTCACTTAACGCGGATTTCACTTAACACGGGACCCTCTGGGTTCTATTGACCACGTTAAGTGGGGTACAACTGTGTGTGTGTATATATATATATATATATATATATATATATATATATATATATATATATATATATATATATATATATATATATATATATATATATATATATATATATATATATATATATATATATACCTGTATATAGATGCTGTAGTTCAAAAATATATTTTTAAATTTTTCTCATTCACAATACACTGTACTATACTACTTAGCAATACTGTACTGTGCTATACTAATCCAAGAACTATTGTACTGTAATACCTCTTGGGTGTGACTGTAATACCGCTTGGGTGTTACAATAACCGTGTAGACAAGAAGGTTTTAGATGGCAAAATCTTAAAAAAAGGGCACCATCAATACAAGCAGGTATTCTATTAAGTGTAACAAGGAGAGGTATTCCAATAAGATTATTGTTTATAAAATGTAACAACAATTGCTGGACACCATATACTACTGTCATAGTCTTCAAAAATACATACATATAGGGGAGGATACCATACTTTTACCCAGATTTTAAATGATATCCAATTTAATATACTTAAAGTTCAAAAAAATCTCTATTATGGTACACAATTATCATTATCTTATAGAACTGCTGCAGCTTGAAGAAGTTATTACGTACAGTACTATCTTTACTCAAAAACTTTCCATTTATAATATTCACTGTATTACCCGGTACTGTACTAAGTACTGTACTATAAAACACTATATGCTAATACAGTACAGTACTGATGATTAATAAATGTACCACAAGTTTCTCTAGGTTAATTATTTTATACTTCTTTAATATGAGATTACCAAAGTATATGCTACCTTTAAAAAATAATTAAATACTCTGAATACTTAAAAAAAGAATTATACAGTACAGTACAAAACTTTATAATGTATTACGAACAGCAGATGGAAAAAAAATATCCCTGCTATAGTCAACTCAAATACAAGAAATATACACAAAACGAAGTACAGTACAGTACATTAGTAGTGTATTGTATACAGTATATAAAATGAATATATATATACGTATACAGATAGACCTCTGGGAGTAATATAAAATATATATTATATGGTGTCCAACAGTGTTGACATAGCAACGAAAAGAAGAAAGCGTGCGGACGGACCACAGGTGAGCGGCACATAGGGCGCGAAGAGCCCTGGTGGGAGGCCGGGAAGCACGCTGAGAGCACCGCCCATAGCTCCACCCTCACTGCCTAAGCTGGGGGCAGGTGGGGGGGGGCTCTCTGAAGAGTGAGGGCCCTCCAGGGCTGAATCAGGTGGGTTCAACATCAGTTGCTCAGATAGGGGTAGAGTGTGCAGGGAGGAGCCAGATGAGACGTAAGTGTAGGCACCTGAAGGTGGGGGTGACCCCGGTGATGTGGAAGCTGACCTCTCCACCCTGGCGACACCTATGCTGCTACCACCTTCAGCGAGCTCCTTGAGACAAAGCCAATCACCATCCACAGAAACCCGGAAGTTGCACAGGTAGATGGTGTCCTCAGCCCCGGCCATCTCAATTAGCACCATCTTATGTGCCCACCATCAGTTATTGCCACACACAATAATAAACATCAACCACAATTAATTGCATGCTGGTAACACTCTTGTTCTCACATAATATAAGTATACCTGCACGACCAAGGAATGAGAATAAGTAAGATTAGCACATAAACAGTATTATGTGATAGCATGGACATACTGTATATATATATATATATATATATATATATATATATATATATATATATATATATATATATATATATATATATATATATATATATATATATATATATATATATATATATATATATATATATATATATATATATATATATATATATATATATATATACACACACACACACACACAGTATACAGGCAATCCCCGTTTTACAAAGATCCATTTTATGAAAATCCAGAGTTACAAAATTTGTTTGTTCCATGTGTCGATTTATTCATGAAAATTCTGAAGTTATGATTTTTTTTCTCACTTTTTTCACAGCATTGGTAGATGCTTAGGTGTTGACACGTGTGCCTTAGAGTTTCCTGTACCTGACCTGATCAAATTCATGGACAAACTAAACATAGCATACAGTAATGTACTGTATTAAGAATGGTTAGTTAGTAGTGTTTTAGTCAGACACAGGGTTAAAGCTGGCTTTGGCTTTTGGAAGCCAGAAATTTTTTGGTTTGGCTTTTAAATTTTCTAAAGGCCTCAGCTGCTAAGTCAGAGGCATGGCACTGGCTTTGGCTTCAAAGCCACAGGTCTGGTTTGGGATTTTCTTCTTTGCAAAGACACGCAGACCATATTGTGACCTCACAGCTGTGCTGATGCCTGACTTTTCTGTTCACATAATGACCTGACCTGCTACTTACATCAATGTTTCCATATGACAAGTCATAGCGTGTCCTGCAAAACACGAGTACCACTGTATTAGTGTCTGACCACATGGTCTTGTGACTAGGCTTGTCAGCCCCTAGGGTGTAATAAATTACAGTACTACACTACTGTAATTAAATAATAAATAATAGTTATCATGACACAGAGAACCAATGGCAAGACAGTGACTCAAGTTATCTTGCCTGTGTGAATGCTGATGTGTTTTGCATCCCAGAATTTGATCTGATGCTACTGTAAGGAATAAAAAGTTAAATGGACAAGTTTACCCCTTTTTCAAGATAAAATCACATTAAAAAACACAATCCTGGCAAAACACAGCATCTCAAAATATATATTGTATACAGTACCGTATGTACAATGCAGTAGACTTACTGTTGGCCTTGCAGTCTCACACTGCACCCCAACCAGTGGCACAGTTTCTCAGTACTGTACCTATACCGTGAAACCTCCATATAACGGACTTCTCTCTCCATATACAGTAATCTGCGAGATGGGGTCCCAGATTAACGGACACTCGATATAATGGACTTTCTTCTCTATTTAGTCCGTTAAATTGAGGTTTCACTGTGCCAGTAACTTGTGTGTGCAACACAATGGTCTATAATCATTGTGTACAGTACACCAAAAATTTTAATTAAAAAATGTTTTGCAGCATTTTACAATGTTTTGGGGAAGTTTTTTTCATGGTACCTTATCTCAGCCTTTACAATAGAAGTCTATGGTTAAATGGGATCAGATCTATGAAAACTCAATTTATGAAAGGTTTCCACAAGCAGAACCCTTTTGCATAATGGGAATGCCAGTATATGCCTGTGCTGTATACACTACCGGGTATATATATATATATATATATATATATATATATATATATATATATATATATATATATATATATATATATATATATATATATATATATATATATATATATATATATATATATATATATATATATATATATATATATATATATATATATATATATATATATATATATATATATATATATATATATATATATATATATATATATATATATATATATATATATATATATATATATGGACAAATATTAACACCTTGATGCTAGTAACACTGATGACTACGGTTAATGCAGTAACATATAGTATACAGTATTGTACTACAAATTTTCTTAAAGAAAACTTGCAGTCATAAATTATAAGGTTCATGACTGAAAAATTACTTAAAAAGTTTATTTGTTCCTTAGTATTATACACAAAGCTTTTGATCATACAGTATGTAATCCGTACTGTATTGTACAATATAATAAACTAGAATTCATGGGCATGATTATTAGTGTACTTTAATATAGTACAGTACAGTACTGTACTCTTTATCTATCTTACATGTACGTACAGTGATATCCCCATTAGCCGGAACAATTGGTGCAGAGCACTTCTGGGAATGAGAGATTTCTGGGTAATGAGATGACTCTCAAAGCCAGAAAAAATCCCTCATCCCCTGAATTTTTCTGGTAACGGAAAAATGCTCTCGGAAGTTCCAGAAATTGCCCATCACATCATCTCTCGTACCCGGAAAAATATCCCCATCCCCGAAATTTTCCAGGTAAAGGAAAAATTTTCCTGTTATTTCCAGAAAATGCACCTGATTTTCATCTCCCAAACCCGGAAAAAACTTCCCCATCCCTGGAATTTTTCGAGTATCGGGAAAATTGTCTTAGAATTTTCCGGAAAATGTGCCCCTTGGAAAATCGTTCCCAAAGCCGGAATTTTCCGAGAAATTACGGCTTTGGGAACGATTTTCCGAGAAAATTTCAATTCCGGCTATCGGAGAGTTCCGGGTTTGAAGGATTCCAGCTGACGGAGATGTTACTATTAACATGTAAAACATTTACAACACATACAGAAGCTTTGCACAAAGAATAATTATATTATATGAACCACAGATGAACAAATATGCTATTATTCTCAAACATCTCTTAGAAAAAAAAGGAGATTCTGTTCCTTATGCTTTACACATATATACAATCATGTATTGACCTTTGTACATACAGTACGTATGTTATATTAAAGATCGATATATGCTCCACTAAAAATATTTACAGTAATGCACTGTACTTTGCAAACAGAGACTGTGACACAACTAATGCTCATAAATGTGATGGTGACAAGCCACCCACACAAAAACCATAATCAGTACAGTTTAGTCTGGATTTACGCGGTTTTGGTTTACGCGTTTGGTCATTGACGCAGTGCCTTGCCAGAATTGAAATGCTTGATTTACGTGGTAAATTGGGTCATTTGCGCGGGAAGAGGCGCGGGCAGAGTGCGCACAAGGTCGCCTAGCCATCAAAACATTACCGAGTTCTTCACCCGCCACCCACCACAGCCGGCCCAAGTCAGTGATAGTGATAGTGAGGATATGGACTTTGAGGGGTTTGACAAAGAGGCCCTGCAAGCCTATGTGGTGGATAGTGATACAATTGGTACAAGTGATACAGGTGAGGGCCAATAATCTGCCCTCTGCCTCGGAACCAACCTCCCATCCCCGTGTGCCCAGTCATCTTTTCTACTAACATAAGTGTTAAAAAACCTAATATTATTGACATTTCTCTTAATTATTAATTGTGTGTACATACCATCATAAAATTAAGATGCTATTTTGACTACAAGGTACGTATTGTGTCGGAAAAAGTGGAGTTTGGGGGTCGGCCCAGTCTCTATTTCAATTAATCCCATATGTTATGTTATTTAATTTACTCGTTTCTCGCTTTACGCGATACTCTGCGGGTTTAATTAACCGCGTAAATGAAGACCCAACTGTACTTTGGTAAATGCCCTTTTTCGAAGAACAAACTGTACCATTATAAGTTTGCAAATACATGTACACAAGTGAAAGAAAAATGTCCCAACTTGTGATGCCCCTAAACATGTACTGTATGAACCCGTCAGGTTTCAGTATGTGGTGTCCTTATGAGATGGAACAAATCCACTATCAAGCCACTGGGATATGAATTGTAATTTTACATGTGATATGTTAAATAATTTTACAATTTTACTGATGATCTATGGTGTGTATGGGTTAAACAAGAGTGCTTCTGATATTATTATGTGTTTTTAATTGAAAAACGTGTGATAAAGTAATTGTGTGTACAACATTATGGTATGGTTTAAATAATGCTCTTATAATATTTATCATTCTCAAAAAATAGAGAGGACCTGGAGACACAGTGAAATACTGTAAAACTTATGTCAAAGTGAATATGGGTGCCCTGAGCATGACATTACTGTCTTATGCAGACACTATACAGTACAGGTACCTCAAGACTCAGCCTTGGTATACAGAGGCGATGTAACCAACACTGCACTAAATTGCCTTCACTTGACATTTTAACAGCTAAGGTCTCTTAAGTGCATAAAACGGTTATATTAGTACATCAACAATTAAAATTTATGAGATAGAAAGGTGTTACTATAGTATGTAGTGTACCAAGCTGGAGTTGTGTCTATCGGAATATTTACACGGTAGCATCAATTAACCTATCCTAGGTTAGGTTAAGATAGGTTGTTTTGTTAAGTTAGGGTAAGTTTTAAATTGATTAAGCTTGGTTAGGTTGGGTTAACAGACACTAGTGTAAATATCCCAGTAGACCAACTCCAGCTCGGTAGACCACATACTATAGTAGCACCGATAGAACTCTCTTTCCCAAATGTACAGTCAAGTACCCATTCATAGCTGGGTAAGGTCGAGGTGCACTGGACAAGGACCGGCAACCCTTATAACAAAGAGGTGTCATGCAGTCTCCACTCGGCTGCCACACTAGACATCTTTGTAGTAAAACAATTCTTGCATAGAATTTAACAAAATATCATATAAATAAGTTCCCATTATTCATCTAATTCATATGTAACTGAAAATTACATTTCACTAGTACTAGTCAAAATATATTCATATATTTAAACAAAACCAAATTTATGTAAGTGAAACTTTCCTCCACTAGCAAAAAACTTACTTTCATTATAATATCTACAGTATTTTTATTAATGACATAGATTGATTTGGCAATTCTTATAAATATATATTAGCAGGCAAGATCTACTCTAGTGAGTGGAAATACAGTACTGTTAGGTTATGCAATTATCAGGAGTACATATTTTGAATATATACTTTCCCAGTTATCTGGAATTATATGTCATTAAAGGGCACTCATTTAATTTTCATCACAAACAGTCGTACAGACGGCAAGGTAAATAAACATGAGATAATGAGAATACAAAACACTAAATATATATTTATTACAACATAAATTTCAAACACGGAGACCGCATAGACAGCATGCCACAAAAGGCATTCTTTTAAGACGGTAGAACAAGTGGGATTTATATATCAAACGACAAATAGGAATCACATGCTTTCATTTATAATGGAAACGTATATGAACGACGCGGTTTCTTAAAAGATGGATTAATAATATAATTTAATTTTTAACTTTAATCAAATCCACTTAAATAATCCCCGATATCTGCATTAGCTCAATTACATATATCCAACTGCACATAATTTTGTAGGTGAATGTGACTTCAACTCTAGAAAGGCACCACTCCTTTAAGAAACTGCAGCGTCACTGTATTCGTGATACAATAGCATCAGGTGATCTAAATTTATAACATAACACACCCCGTTCTAATCTAAATAAAACAGTATAAAAACATCTATTTCCCTTTGTTCTAACATTTCACTTGTCACAACTTTCTGTTAATCACTTGGTTGCCACATATCGGGCGTGGACACAGTATGTTTACATCATATCAGAGGTTTACATATGTGACGTTCTGTTGATGAGGTTGATCTTCATGTTTCACGCTCGTCTTTTTTTTCAGATCCCCTGATAAATACATATATCATGAATCACTCTTTAGATAACGTAGTACAGTGTTTGAATATCTTTCAAGTCTAAATACCGTTCAGCAGACAGCCGCGCGAGTCACTGTTTCCATGTCGGATATCACCATAGGCTGTTCTAAGAAGCCTGACTGCGCCTGCGTTATCGGACACTCACACATACAATTTCCACCTACAGGGGATTCCCTCATCATCATCATCGCCTCGAATGCAATACAAGCAAAATATTTTCATACATAAACTGAAAGGGAGATGACGAAATTTTAAGTTATCATTAAAAGAAGAAAATAAATTATATTGATTTTTTAATTTCTTTGTGGCGAAATGAGCGTAGACAATTATACATTTCACTACTTACTGGACCAAAAGTAGCCTAAAAAAATAAATCAGAACAAAGGACATTGAACAAATCTCTAAATTCTATGTACAAATAGTTCCAGGGCGTAAAAATAACTGCGCAAATCCTCGACAGCCAGAGCGTAAGGGTGGGTGGGGCAGAGCGATCAATAGTCTGGCCTCCCACACCCCCCTTCTCTCTCAACATGGTTTCGCTAGCACTCCTTTGAGCATACCCCAAAATTATAATATACAAAATTAAGAAACAAGCTGGTTCAACAATAAAACAAAAAATGTATACGGTATATTTCCTGAGAAATACGATGCTCCCCTAACCAAGGGAAGTATTTTTCAATAATGAAAAAAAATAGTACTGTAATAAACAAATGTTTTTTGCATAAAAAATTACACTTTCAGAAAAACTAAAAAAAAAGACATATGCAACAAAGGATCACGAAGAAAATTAACAGGCGAAATTATTATATAAACGGAAATGTGGCCTAAAGGTTTCACAAGCAATCCAAAAGCAATTATTTAGAAAATCCGATTTTCGCATTAAAAAAATGCGAATTTAATATAATTCTATTGTATTGACAATATTAAAAACCAGGTTAGTATTTTTTTCAATATTCCCAAGGGGGCGGCTACCTCTTTGTGCTCTGGCATATAGTGAAAAAGTTGTTAACAAAACTAAGTTAACAAGAGACATTTTCTGGAGACATATTTTCTCAGGTAAATTTATTTGCAGAATTACAACTGGGGATAACGGCTGGTACTGTATGCATACAGTATACACTGACTATCTTCGAAGGAAAAAAAATAAATCTCTTATTACCAGTTTTTACTCTTTCACTGCATTTTTTTTAATTATTATCTAACAGAATGAAGATTCATTATGGTAAATCTCGACGAATTCAAATCTGAATTCTTTGGAACAGTTGGGTATTATTACTGAAAACATGAATGCTTCTGTTCAAGCTGATAAAGTTGCCTGTCAAATATAGGTTATAATAACTTAAAGTTAATTTTACATTAAACTCCTATGTATCTTCTTAATTGTACGTAATAATAATAATAATAATAATAATAATAATAATAATAGTAATAATAGTAATAATAATAATAATTAGTATTAATGAACACTGTAGATACATAGTAATGGAGATTTAAAGCCAGAAGTGATAAAATCAAAGAAATCCATGATTTTAAAAATATCACCATTCTTTACTATCAAATTCCTAAAGTTATCTTTCATAGTGTGGTATATCTCAATTAACTTCGTTATAAATTATTAGGAATAATTCTAAAAATCACTCATTGACGCATAATATTGACGCTACTGCTGATAACTAAGCAACTCTTGAGCCTGAACCAGCCTATCTATACTGTACACGCTACGTTTTATCGCACAATGTGCTGCTGAAAGGCTTTATATGGCAAGTACTGATTTTTTTTACAATTTACATATATACATAAATATTACATATTAACATATTTGTAAGTGAAATATTTGGATGAATTTTCTTTTAAAATACACTTGATCATCCATTTATTATAATACATCCTGCCTTTAATAAAGGCTAGTCTCCTTAACATTATAATTTTCCTTCCTACTTAACCACATACAGTAAATATAATCTGACATTAGCATGATCATTGTATTCTTATCGTTATTATCACTACAGTTATCACAAGTTTTCTTGATAATAGTCTTGATAACTGACTCGGGAGCAGGAGCATACTGTATTTAGGAAAAAAAATTAAAGAGGAAAACTTTTTTCTTACTTTTTTAATATCAAAAACAGAAAAGAAGAATTTTAACTTTCCTACTTTTGCTTCTTCCATTTTTTTTATTCTGGACACAAAGCTATATCACTATGCTGCCTCCATGTGGCTGCAATTATAAGCTGTTTATATGAGCGCTAAAAGACAAAAATAAATTGTAATGCTTCCCTTGTGTGGCCGCTTTTATCAGCTGTTTATCTGAGTGCCAAATGACAAACATTCACAAACGTTAACATTTCCGTTCCATACAACAAAAAACCAGCAGTAAATTTTGAAACAAAATTTCATACACAATTATAAATCCTTTCTTAGAAACAAAATTTCATACACAATTATAAATCCTTTCTTAGATTAACCCTCTAGCGGGCAGGGGCTCCCTTCAGCTAAATAAAATCATCTGGCATTTGCCAGAATAAAATACCTCTGGCGTTAGCAAGAATAATATACCTAAGCGATACTTTACCCTTTGAGAGGTTAATAACATACCAACACATAACAAGGTTCTATATTAATTTGGTGATTTTGTTCAGGATGGCATTTCATGTCTAAACAATATCTTATTGTATCAAAAATGTCCACCAGCAAACAGCGACCTATGGCTTATCATATATAAGATAAACCAAGCAACCGAACCTTACCAATTCTAAAATAGAAGTGCATTATTTTAGATTCAACGCTGTTGACCTAGCTTACTAAATTCACTCAATTGGAAGCATAGTTATGCCTATGTTAGAATAGGTTGATAAAATATGGTAAAATACTGTCTTGTGTGGTTTAGTCCCACATTTTCACCCACTTTTTGGGAGATTAATATTTAAGGAGGAACGGGTCCCAACTTAGAAACAAAGAATTTGCCCAAGAAACAGTTATCATCAGTCTGCAGAGCAAAAAAAAAGTCGTTGAATGTTTTGCCGTGACCGGCTAAGTTCCTCCCAACACTATTTTACCATGAGTGTGCTCTGATTGACTAATCGTCCATTACCAGCGAACAACGCGAGAACTATATTATTTTGACCATAACTCTAGTGGCATTTGGCATTTATTTCGCCGAGTCGATCATTTTGAAGCTATAAACATACCTAACCTGAAGGAGTTGGCTGATTTTGTTAATTTTTTCCACAGATTTTCTTATTATCAAATAGGCAACATGTACATGAATCCAGTAGAACCTGACTTAACCAACCAAAGAAACCTACCTAACCTTAGCTAACTTCCTAGCTGGTCATATTAAACCGAAAGTACTTTGCCAATCAGAGTGTACTCGTGGTAAAATGGCGTTAGTAGAAACTTTGCCGGTCACGGCAAATTATTCACTATGTAAAAAATCACTTTTAAGGAAAACCATGTCTTGTTGCTGGGTCGAGGAGCCAGTATTTTCTGTATATATACCATTTTTCCTAAGTTGCTCCTTCTCAGAATGGTATTGTTGCAGTTTCACTCCCAATAGGGTTAGAGCAGAAATGACTCATTTCTAAAGGAAATGAAGGTCAGATTCGAATGAATCACACCAAATAAAATGGAAAAACGTAGATTTCTGGTAAAAAAACAATTGGTAGTGAAGCTGCAAATGTACCTTAAGAAGTCTGTTCCAGACTCTTACCCAAATGATCATGTGATCTTAATCCTCTCCATATACTGTGCAGTACTTAGATCACTCAACACTGGTCTTATTCAGTTAATCACGTTTGTGACTTCACTAAATAGATGTATGATGATAATTCATCATATTCTGTTACGTACAACAAAAACCAACATTGATATTTTTCAAACCAGGACCAGGAAGGAAGCTTACAAGTGCTATACAGGTCAAACTGTATGAAAGTCTTGTCTACTCACTTTTCCAGATAGTCTTTTGAGAAACAGGTGTTCTGTCTGAGATGTATGCTTGCCACTGCCCATTCTGTACAGAATTTGGGGTTTTAGGACCATCATTTTCCACATTTATATCTTGACAAGGGGGAGTGTCGCTGTTTATATTTACACTCCCAGCTGAGGCAGCCATGATCACTGACCCTCCAGAAAACGGGAAACCAATTACATCCGCTGCAATATATTATAATGTACAGATACATAAAGAGTTCAAAATTTTAAAAATAATTATACGAAATAGGTGTGTAATATCAGAGAGATATTATCATTGATTGTGGAATAAAGTATTATTTATTTTTTAAATGAACATGGCACGTGAATTTTGTGAGAGATAGTTTAGCGTTGCGTCAGGCGAGCAGCAGCACGGAACGTCACAGCTGGGTAGATGATGATTGGTTGGTTGTGACTGTGTTTACAACTCCCTCTGCCGGTGATTGGCTGCAGTCAACCGTGTTTACACCCTAGAAGTTCACTGTGGAGCAGACTGTCGTTAGGTAAGTGTGGCGATCTAGTTTTTTCCCGTACTGTACGAGCATATTATAAATGAAAATACAAACCCGGGAAGACAATAACACTTGAATAATTATGAAACTTTATAATTATTGAGTTATTGTGATTATTGATTGTCACCACTGTCTTAGATGGCGCTGTGCTCTTACCAACATGAGCAATGCGAAATATAAACGACTTGGATATCATATGCCGATGACCTCATAAAGTAATGCTTTATGAGGTTATTGGCATATGACATCTAAGTTGATTTTGTTAGAATATTTGGTAATTATATAGGACTAACCGGCGGCCGAAATTTATTGAAAACGATTATAAAAACGCCGGATTTGTATTGTTATTTTATAACTTACTATGATATGGTGAAATTTGAGGCATTTTTTGGACGTGAATAATATTACAGTATTTACTATACAATACCCCGTACACTATTTATTTTGTTTTAATGATGCAGTAGTAAAAATTTTCCTCTATTTTTTTTAATGTGTAATACAGTACTGTATATATAATATTTTTTATTTCAGTACTGTACAGTGCTGTGTATTAAATTATTTTGGGTGGAAAGCATTATACAGTACAGCATGCCCTTCAAATTTGCAGGGCTTAGGTATTCAAAGTGGTAGTAAAACACCAAATCCGCGAATAACATTTGCCGATTGTCGGGGGGGGGGGATATTTTTACTTGTGT